TCTTTCCCATGCTTTATTGCTCATCACATTTTTAATAATATCAACTATTTCCCTCATTTTCTAACACTTTCATTCCCATCCCACAACGGTGTTTAACAAGTGTTGTGCCAATCTTGGAGCCGTCACATCCAATGCTTGTTCCTGGCTACAGCGCGGCATCCCAGCCCCTTAGCACTCGATTCCAGCAGCATTCACTGTGCACAGAGAAACCGTCCCGGCGGTAGCTGGCAATTGGGATTCTCGTGCCAGCTGGCAAGTGTTGTCAGCGGACGCACCAAGCACTGCGTGGTACCATCCTGCCATCGCTGAGATCTCCCCAGTGCTCTAGATGGAGTTGTTATCTCTGCAGAATAGCAGGCGCATCTGCTTTGTATTGCTTCGTTAATGGCCGTTAATGACTAGAGTAAAAATCAGGCTGTGAATCATGACTGTTATTGGACACAATTTTGTACTGTTTTCTCAGCAAAAGAGATCATTTCTCCGTCAATCGGATTGCTTTTTAAGTGATTTATCTTTGACTTTTTTTCTGATAATGGTTATACACTGGAACTGCAGGTCCCACATGCCTGTCGCAAGGCTGCCCAGCCCTGATGCATAGAGAGAGACTTGAGCAAGTAGGAGAGAGCAAATAATTAGAGACTTTAGCAAAAGGCATAAAAAGAGCATGAGGTATGTTTGTCAAACTACAGTGGAAACCATTGGTTTTTGAAATGAGATCTGAGGCTTGGATTCCTTTATGCTGCCTGGAAATCAATTTAGTACGTGTGACATAGTGAAGTTCAGAAAGTTGAAGTGGTATGCCAAGAGAGCTGTGGCTTTTTGCTATTCATGATCCTTTTGGGAACCTTTCTAGGAATTTATAAGTAGCATGGCTATCCAACTAATTTAAGGTACTAAAATAGTTCATGTTGAAGTTCTCACCAGCCCAGTGTGTAGAATGATGTCGTGGGCTGCAAATTCAAAGAAGCTTTCTATTAATAAAGAATTTCAAAAGATGTTTTGGGATTTGCTGTAATTCCTGGAGATTTTCAACACGCATCTGAAAACGAATTCTGTAATGGAAAGCATTCTCAAGGATTTGCACTTCGCTCTCCCACAAAGATACACATTTTGAATGCCAGCATATCTTGGGATGTGCAGCTATCTGATTTTCTCATATATGACCACATTCAGCAGCCAGACTTGGCAGAGCCAAACTAAGATCGGTATATGGAAATGCTTCCAGATTTCATAGGTCTGTAGAAAGTAAAGTTAGAAGGGATCTTCAAAGGTCACTTGTTCCCTGCCCCATCCTTGAGCAGGATCAACTCAGGATAAATCTTTTCTGCCAGCTGCCTGTCCAGCCTGCTCCAGGGTTGGACATTGCACGGTGCCTCTAACAAAATCTAGTCGAGTGCTTCTGGGGTTTTACAGTTAAAAAGTTTTTCCATAGTTCCTTATCTTATGTGTGTATATATATACAAATATATATGTACACACATACACTTACACATGCATACACGTACGTATGCACATACACACATGAGATTATATATGTATACATAAACATGTAGTGAAAGTGTAGACCCATCACACTTCGGGTTTTTAAAAAGTCTTTTAAGAAAATAGCTGAGCAAATACAGAAAGTGGGAACACTCATAGCAGGTTCTTGAAGTGATGCAGTCTTTTATTTTCCTCATTTACCCCCTTTACCTAGGTTCTAAATTTATGATAATCGGTCTTTTGTAAGAGCATGTGGAAACTTTGCAGAGACGTATTACTGTCAGCTCTTTACACAGATCAAAAATGGTCTGTGCAGACAGGGCTTTGGAAGGGAATGCTATCTGTTTCTTCAGGAAATTAAATGCACAAATTCTTTTTGCATCCTTCCAGCTGCAATAAATAGCTGAAGGACTCAGTCTGTGGCTGTTTCTCTGAGCTTTCCCCTAATGGATCATTCAGATGAATAATTCAAAGGAAACATTTAAACTATTTCGAAGTCCACATGTTCAAAATGCACATGTTCAAAAACTGCAAAGTACATCACATCACATCCCTGTTCTGGTCATTTTCTATCAACATAAATCCACGGTCTGAACATCCTGGATCAGGAATTTGTGGGGTTTTTTTCTATGTGAGAAGTATCTGCAAAAAACCAGCTCACTTCGCCTGGCCAGTTAACATGGATAGCTTGTTACATGGAGGGTGATAGACCATACGTAGCTCTTATTTTCCTGGAGTGAGTGGTGGAAATAAAGTGAGAATGGCAGGGAACTCTGTCTCAGCTTTCTGGAGGAAGATGTTTTCTTCTTTTTTATACATTTCTGCACAGGAATGGAGGAAGATCGGATGCCATGAGAGAATGAACGGCATCTCAGCAAACTTCACTTGGCAGCTTCTCTCAGCCCACTCCTTTCCTCTGGCCGTAGGAGATCTGAGCGCGCAGGTGGTGCCCTGCAGAGAGGGCTGCCTTCCGCAGTCTTTGTAGCAAGCAGAGCTGGCTTAAGGACGGGTTTAGTATGACAGCCCCAGCAGGCAGACGTGGTAGCAGAAATCCATTGACAAGTTGAGCAGCTCAATCTGGGAAAACTCAGAGTTTGGTTCTAGTCACCTCAGCTTTTGTAATGACTGGTATGTTCTAGGTTTTAACTCTGTCAAGAGGAACTTTCAGCAGCATGAATCTTATTTGCACTTTGCTTAATCTCCTGTTTTATAATCACAGAAAAGTTCATCATTTTTTGTAAGATCCCTTAGATTAAATGTAATATTAAAATGCCATTGGTTTTAGAAAACGAATTTGTGTCTAAACTGAAGCTGATCCAAAAGCTGAATGCAACTTTTTTTTTAATTATGTTATCCTTGGCTTTTTACCTGCTTTGCACTTTTACCTGCTAATGTTTTTTTTAAAAAGGAAAACTGGCATCAGCAGTGCAGGCTAGTTGCTGAGCACCTCATGCTATACCTTATGCTTCTTGCTGGAAGTGTTTCCAGGACTACCTGTACTCTACTGGTGCTTCCCTTTGAATCGTCTCCTGGAGCAGCCAAGCACGGCAGTGGGCTCTCAGATGCACAGGGGAAGCTTCATGCTAGAGCATTCTCTCCTTTGGGTTAGAGGTGACCTCCTGAGTCAAACATTCTCCCTGTCCCTGCAGTGAAGCCAGCAGTTACCTATTCCCACCCGCTGTCCCTGGGCCCTTGGAGCTGCTGACAGCCGGCATGAGCTGCACCGGTCTGCAGTGCTCTTCAACGCACTTTGGATGGGATGCCTGGGGTGGGATGCTGGGCCAGGGATGCTGCTGGCCCAGGGATGCTGCTGGCCTAGGATCCAGGGAACATTTTTACCTGGCTTATGGTCTCTTCTGTGTACTCTCTCCCTAAGCTGTCACGTGCATAACTAAAAACTGGCATCTTTTGACTGAAAAAATCTGACTATGTATTTTGTGCATCTCTGATTTTAGGATGAAATTTTGACGGTCATCAGGAGGGTAGATGACAACTGGGCAGAAGGAATGCTGGGTGACAAGATTGGCATTTTCCCTATCCTCTATGTTGAGGTAAGTTCATGACAGGTCGTGGGTGCTGGTCTCGATGTCTTGTGGTTTTTTTGTGCCCACAAAGGCAGGATAACTTTGAAAATTCTTAAATGAGAAGGACAAAATATACCAGAATAACTGAAAAGGGAATTTTTTGCTGCTGTCCCCTAAGGCACTGTGAGGATACACTCAATTCAATTTGAAGTGGCCAGCAAAATGTATGCCCTGAACTACTGTTAAAGGCTTCCCATGTAGTGCTTCTGGTGTAATCTCCACAATACACAGGGAAAACAGGGGAGGATGATTGCAGTCGGGGTATCTTGCACACACCTGAGGAGAGGCGGGTGCTGCTGGTAGGTGGGAAGCAGTGGTGCAGGCTCAGCCGTGCTCTGAAAGCACAACCCTTTGGGGGGGGGCACTGCGCGTGTCCCCGGCCCCATCAGGAACTTGGGCAGCACCGCCTGTGTGCCCAAGGTCCCTCATTCCCTGTGCAACAGACCCATCCTTTTCCTGAGCACTGTCCTGCAGTCATTTCCACATAAGGCTTATTTCAGAGTAAATGCTGAGACTTCATATTGTCCGAGCAGACCCATTGTGCCACCTCTTCCCACTGCTGCGCACCCTCCTGCTGGTGCCCGTCCAGCTGGGTGCTGCTTGGGAGAAGGGCTGCAGCGAGCAATGGTGGCCCATGGTGGCCCCGCTGGGGATGCTCTGTTGTCCAGGTGCCAGGTAATGCCTTTGGGGAGCTTTTCTCCTTCGTGAATGAACGAGGGGTGCAAAGAATGGATGGGCACCACACATGTATGTATTTTTTCGAGGTGCTGCCACTCTGCACCCGGTGCTGAGAGCAGTATCACCCTGACTCTCCTCCCAGGCGTAGGCTGGTGCCACTCTCCAGAGTGAAGCGTCTCTTGTGCCCACAGCGGAGCCCTCCCTACTGTGTGTGGCTCTGATGCCTGCCTCCAAAATTACTTCTCCAGATTTCTTAGTTAATGATTTGAGACAAAATAGAGATAATTAGTGCCTGACTACCTAATTATTAGCTCTGACAATGACCAATTTGGAATAAACCATCATTAATATACATTGCGTTCCCACAGTTGACAAGAACAATAATATTAAAACCAGAATGTGTAGGAGCCGTTATTGGGAAACCAGCTGCCTCATATAAGTTAATGACTAGTTTTCCTCTCTTCTGAACGCGTAAGACATTTTCAGTTTGTTGTGATTAAATGAGAAAGCTGAGTTTCTCCCAAATTTCATCCTTTTTCTCTTTCTTGTCCCGGGGGAACGCGATGTTACTGTGCTGAACTTTGCTGCAGAAAGAGTGAATTGGGGACCTCTGCACAGCCAGCCACTGTTGCACCCCACCAGCTTTCCTGAGCTCTAGTTTTGCCTGCAGGCTGTAAAAGCTTGCACTGCCTACACACCATACAGCATCCTGATCCATCTCCCACCCCTAGATATCTGTTCTTAATTACTGTTCTCGTAGGGTGAAGGGCTCGAAGCCTTAGAGGAACAGCCTGTTGGGAACACGTGCAATGTTGTCTCACTGAAGTTCTCCAAGCACTATCACGTCCTGGGTGGCCACGGAGGAGCAAGAGGTAGCACTGTGCAGAGTCAGAACAGCAAAGCTGGAAGTTTCTAAAGAGATGCAAACAGCCAGGCAGCTAGCACCAGGGGAGAAGAATGCACGTAGGAATGTGTGTGTGCATGTACATTCATACACAGACACACACATATATAAAATAAATACAGCCATATACATTTATGCATATATTTATATATATATGCATCTATAAATTTGAAATCTGGAGGCTTGAAAGGCCTTTTCAAATGAGATAGTTGGGTGACATGGGCATAATACTTCTGCCGTGGTTTGTAAAGCCAAAGGGAAATGATCCTCCAGACAGAAGCATCAGCCACCTATTTCATCCATGTCCTGGTGGATGGAGGCCTTGTTCTGAATATGAGATGAGCTTATGCAACTGTTGGAGTTATACAATTATGTTGCTGTTGCCAGCTTCAGATGTTACTTGACATTAAAAATTAAGAGGAATCAGCAGGCCAAATCCCAAAGAAGTTTTGAAAAATCTCAACACCAATGTTTATAAAATAAATCCATTAAACAAGTAGTACTTGAATCTAAAACCACTCCTTGAGTCTGTCCAAGTCCATTAAGTGGTTTTCAAAATCTTGGCAAAATGTGCAGAATAAGCAAAGCTTAACTCTGCGGTAGCCTTTTGCTTGTGTGAGCCGATGGCCGAAGTACGTGGGATTTCACGTGGCATCTGAAGCTGTACGCTCTGGATGGAGTGAATTCCAGCCTGGAGCCCATCCCTAAGGGCAGGCTCTAATGTCCCCAGCTGCTCCCATGGCCCAAGCAAGAGTTCTTATGCTTGCTACAGCAGCCAGAGCATTAGAAAACAAGCCAGTCACTTCAAGGATCTTAGAGCTGAGCATCCCAGAGCTACAAATATAGAGGGGACATAATCCTTGTTGTGGCCCCACTTTGGTGAGACTTCGTCCTGGCAACGTTCTGCCATACCCCTCACACGGATGCTTGCAAGAAAGCCTTTTGCAAGTACCCTGTTACAAAGCATTTGCATGCATGAGGCACAGCAGGGTGGGAAGGGAAGGAGGAGAGTACCGCAACCCCGCTGGGGATCAGCAAATTCTTCATCAGGACCCCACTGGCCTCCCAGCACTTGGGCTTGTCAGCTGGCCCGTGTAAAAGCCTGCAGTGTCTCCCTAGGCTCCATCTGCTTTCCACCCTGTGCTTGCTGAATCTGAGAGTGGTCCACTCCCGTAAAGGATTCTGTGCCTGGGAGGGCAACTTTTAGAGTGAGACTGTGGTGTCACAAAGCAGTGGCACAAAAAACTAGTTGAAGGCATCAACATATATCTGCTTCCTGCAGTGTCTGAGGAAGTCTCAGCATTATGTGTGGTTATAGCCATATAAGTGTAACGTGGCATGGATTTTATGCTTTATTCCCTGCAAGTGTCCAGCAAGGGTGCTTGCATGCCTGCTGTGTCTGACAGCTCTCTGCAGAGAGGCTTTTTCCTGCCTCTGTAGTGTCATCTCTGTCCCAACCTCAGAGAAGCTACAATCGTATAAGGAATAAATATTTGCAGCTCACAATGGTGACTTTTACAGAATGAGTCACATACAATATGTTCTGTCAGGGAGAGTTTGCACTATTTTTTTTCTTATTTTGTTGCTGTCCTTCGTCTCCAGTAGAAGTCATTTGGGCTGATAATTTATGTTTTAATTTGTCTACAGAAAAACACAACATAATCAAATTGATTCTCAAGGTGCCTTCTGTCCTGAAATAAACATCTTATTAATAATCCGTATGGTTTGAAGTCATATTCTTGCTGGGAGGAGTTTTGGACCTCCAAGGAATTCAAACTCCTTCCTAAATTTCTTTCATTTTACTGTCTTCAAGCTAGCTCCTTCATTCTTAATAACTGCTGTTATTATCTCTGTTTGGAAGTTGTAAGCGTTGTGCTGCTGTGTGTAAAATTGAGAATAATGAAGAAGAAAGTGTGTCCTAATAGATTTAAGTGTCTGGGAATGAAATTTGAGGGCAATGGTGTGCCGAGTATTTGGAGGGACACCTCCTGCTCAGATGGGCAGGAACTGGAAATTCAAAAAGCTGAGCTGTTAGACCAAAATTTCTGACTGAAGCTCCCAGTGCAAAGAAGTATTGACGGAGATCAAGAAGCCTTATGAGTCTGTAGTAGAGCAAGGCAATTATGTTGAGCGCTACTGTGACTGTAATATCAGCAAATTACAATTGATGAAGTGCCAGCCCATTGTTATAATGTTTTATGGCAGCAGGGGCACTGAAAGCTGTGATTAAGTAATATTAGGAGTTTTAAAACTCTCTTTACAGAGCAGTGAAGCAGGGTAACGGGGATCTTCTCCTGTTCTTCACAGTCACAAGAGAAAAAGGTGGAAAGGAGGTCTAGGAGAAAGAGGGAGGAGGAGAATGGGCAGAGCCGAAGGTTTCAGCGCCTTGGAGTACAGATCCACAAGACTCCCCAGGGACTCAGGGGAAAAGAATTCTTGCAACTCAGTGTTTAAAAAGAGTTCAGCCAAAACAAAACAAACAAACAAACAAAAAAATCCAAAGTCAAACGCATTTCTTAAAGACAACAATGATTTTTCATTCCAAAATTAGCTTTGCAGAGCAGAGCACCACCTTTAACGATTTTGTGCTGTACCACTGGATCTACCAATCATCCTAAACCAGCTTAACCCATACAGGGGAACCTGAGCACATTTACCAGGATCCCAGCTGTGGTCATTGAGTAGTGTCACGGAGACCCACCTACCCAGCTGAATTTGTCCTTAGCTGTATAACTATGTACTTTGCTGAGGGTAACCTTTAGTTCGTCTGCAGAGGTATGCAAATGGCTGAGAGTTTAGTGTCTGTGTGTCTGTGTGTGTGTGTTCAGTTAATCTGATAACTTGGCAGCTCGCAGGAGGTGATCCAGGGAACCACTCTGAAGAGAGCAAAGCCTTTCCCATTGCCCAGCCTATAGACCTGCTTGACTTTGGGATTCTTCAGCATTTTCCTGGCGGTGCGGCCCCCAGTCTGGCATTCAGTCTGGATGGCAGATTTTGTATTTTTTTTCTCCATATGCAGATTCCCATCTTAACCATTTCCAAATATCCTGGAAACCCCAGGGGCAGTCATCACAGTTACATTCTTGAAAATTCAGAAGTGTGCGTGTGTGTATTTCTAGGTCGAATAGATGTTTTGACCATTTTCAACAACATCAACAAATAATTGTTGCCCTGTCCACTTCTTGTCTATGTTTTCTCTCTCCTCAATCTGTTTGGTTCCTCCCTTCACCTGCAGGACAGATGGGTCCCTATGGGACTCTCATAATGAATTCAACCTTGATGTTTGACCCATCATTTATATATGTGTGATCTCTGTGGCAGCATACTCTGCACTGTTCAGAGTATCCTTTATGAAATCCTTCCAGAAAAAAAAGGAGCATTAGAC